AAAGGGTTTAAAGGAGGCCAGCATAGATGATCCGGTGACTGGAAACAGAGCCCTATAAGGAGAAATTGAAAGAACTGGTAATGTTTAACCTGGAGAAGAGAAGAGTGAGATGAGATATTATAGCACTCTTCAAGTACTTGAAAGGTTGCCACACAGAGGAAGGACATGATTTCTTCTTGATCATTCCAGAGTTCAGGACACAAAATAGCAGGCTTAAGTTACAGGAAGCTAGGTTCTTCTTCGTGGTCTCCGTGCAAACACACCAATGGGATTGACGTGCAGCACAAGGCCTCAACCAGAAAGAAACTTCCAAAGCTCGGCGCCATGGAATGGGCGGGAGCTGGGCCCATCCCCTGCGCAGGCGGTATATAGGTGGCAGCTCCCACCCAGTTCCTTTTCAACCACGCTTTGAGCTCGCCTCGGATTGGAGCCTTCCACTCACTCTGCTTACCGGTTCGCCATTTTGTCTCTCATTCTCTCCAAAAAGAAACCACTCTTTTCTTCTTTTGTGCCTTTCTTTCCCACTGCAGAGAGAAGCCTGCCTCCTCTCTTCTCTTCTCTTATTTTACTCTTCCTCCAGCTCTTTCCTCTTGCCTTTCCTTAACCATGTGCGCTCCATTTCAGACCACATGGCCGATTCAGCTCCACACCACTGCACCTCCTGCGCAGCAAGAATGCCTGCTAACAACGGGCATTCAAAGTGCCTCCACTGGTTAGGCGAGGGGCACATCATGGAGACCTGCCCAGACTGCCAGGCCTTTAAAAAGCAGGTGCACCGGCAGAGAGCCATGAGCCTCAGACAGGCCCTGTGGCAGCAAGCCCTTACGACCTTCACCCCAGGAGGGGGTTATCTACCCCCCCCCCGGGAAGGCTTCTCCAAGCCCCTCAGGGCAAGGAGGAGGGCAGAGTCACTGGGGTAGGGCCCCTCCAAAGCTGCGACACCAGCGAAGAGGTGCAAGCCCCACGCTGCAAGGGAGCTGCCCCCCACCCGACATCAGAAGCAACCCTGGACCACCCAGAATCCCCAGACCCCGGGGCACCCCAGGATGCGACTCCCACAGTCCTGGTGCTGGAGTCCTTGGGTACCAATGTCCCAGCAACACCGCCCGTGCCACAGGCCAGGCCAGTATGCGGGCTGGCCGCCATAGCAGCAGCGGAGGCAGCCGCCCACACATCCCCCCTCTCAGGGGACCGCCGTTTCTCCATGGCACCTGTGGGCGACACCACCCAGCGCTAAGGAGTGTTGCCGCCGCCTCTGCTACTCTCCCCCCACGCCCCGCACCCAGGATACACGCACGAGGCCACAGCAGCCATCAGGAGCGTGCTGGGAACACACGGTGCTCCGAGCACCCTAGCAGGACGCAGGGTACACTGGCTGGGATTATGGTGCTGCAGCTTCCCGCCATCACCACATCTCACCCAGCAGTGAATCAAGCTGTGCCTCCAGGCCCAGGAACAAGCCATGCAGGCCCAACAGCCCCTGTGGCTCAGCAGAGACTCCTCAGCGACACGGCCTGCACCAGGCCTGCCTGCCAGTGCCGCCGCTCCCACAGCCCTGCTTCTTGCCGCGAATGCCCGCACGCCACTCGTCAGAGCAGGAGTAACCGCCACCAGTGTTCCAGATCCCGGACTCAGGTCAGAGCCACACCCCAGCCCTGGGACACTCCCCCTCCCCTGCAGCCTCAACCCACTTCCCAGATGGCCAGGACCTGGACCAGGACTTCTCACCAGCCAAGCGGGGTGGCTTCTCTGACCTGGTGCTTCACATGGCAGAGGACCTTGGCTTCCAACCCTCCCAGAGCCCGAGGCTGACCCATGGTATGATGCACTCGCATCAGGGGACACTACCACTGTGTCCATCCCAGCCAAGCCTGCACTGCTACGCACAGCACAGCAGTCTTGGAAAGCCCCGGCTGGCCCACTGGCCACCATTTGCAGAGCGGAATCCTCCTATAAGGTCACCATCAAGGCCTTTCCCCTTCTCCTCCAAACCCTAGGCCCAGCTTCATCATAGCGGAGTCCATGAAGGGCACCCCCCAGTGGACAGGGAGGGGTGCTGCCTGGATGCCATGGCAAAGAAGATTTACACTGCTGCTGCCATTGGCTTAAGGGTCTCCAACTACGAGGCCACCATGGCTAGGTACCAATTCTTCCTATGGGAGAAGATGGGTGCCATAGTTGATCAGATCCCTGGCTACCTATGGGATGCTGTCTGCCTCATCCACACTGAGGCAGAGGACCTCTCCAGGTTCCAATTAGAAGCAGCTTGACGCCATGTCCACTGTGCCAGCAAGGCCATGATGGGAACAGTAGCCATTCACTGCCACGCCTGGCTGCACTCCACCTCTCTGCCCCCAGAGACCCGAGTCTGCATTGTGGACCTGCCCTCAATGGTTCCCTGGTTCCCCCTTCTCCTTCGCCTATCAGGGAGCAGCTTCCACCACCTGCCCTACTGGGCCAACCTGCTTTCGCAGAACCAGGGCAGGGTCCTGCACCCCAATCTCAGGACCCTATGCCTGACAGCCTGGAAAATCCCGCCCTGATAGAACCATACAGCTCCCTGCCCCCGGTGGTTGCCACCATACTGCAGGCCACCCTCAAGCCCTCCACGCACCACTCCTACCTGGCTAAGTGGAGAGCCTTTGCTGCCGCAGCACAGGGCCTTGACCCCACCGCTGCCTCTGTGGACCACATCCTAGAGTACCTGCAGTACTGCTTCGCTGTGGGCCTCTCCCCATCTTCTATTAGGGTCCACCTAGAGGCCATCTCCCACTTCCACCCCCCCCATCCAAAGGTGCTCAGTATTCACTCGTCCCCTGGCATGCCACTTTCCCAGGGGCCTCCGCAACCTGGCCCCACCTACCCAGCCTCACCCCCCAGCATGGAGCCTCTCCATAGTTCTGCAATCCCTCATGAAGAGGCCCTTCGAACCCGTGGCCACAACAGACCTTCGGCTTCTCTCCTGGAAGACGGCCTCCCTGGTGACCATCACATCTGTCCGCCATGCCAGCGAGGTAGCTGCCCTGAGGATCGATGCTCCCTTCACCACATTCCGCAAGGACAAGGTCATCCTCCGTCCAGACCCACACTTCGTCCCCAAGGTGACATTCCCTTTCCACCTGAACCAGGACGTCATCCTACCAGCCTTCTTCCCAAACCCATCGAGGCCACCCTTCACCTCCTGGACATTAGGAGGGCCCTCGCCTTTTACAGGGTCTGGACCGAGACTCTCCACCGCTCAGAGTGCCTCTTCATATGCTATGAAGGCCCCAGAGCCAGTGAACCCATCTCCAGCCAAAGACTGTTGAAGTGGGTCTCCATTACTATCTCCCTTGCCTACAACATGGCAAAGATCCCACTGACGGAACGTCTACACGCATACTCCACATGCGCCCAAGTCTCATCTACTGTGCTACTGGCTGGTGTCCCACTGTAGGAGATCTGTAGGGCGGCGACATGGTCCACTCCCTTGACCTTTATTCGCCACTATCAGCTAGACATCCGTGCCAGGCAGGACTGCGCCTTTGGATAACCCCTCCTCCAGGAAGGATAGCTTGCTAGTCACCCATTGGTGTGTTTGCACGGAGTCCATTAAGAAGAAAGGCAAGTTGCTTACCTGTAACTGTCGTTCTTTGAGTGGTCATCCATGCATTCACACAACCCACCCTTTGCTCCGCTGGCTATCGTCAGCTTCTGCCCCATATGGGCCAGGGCAGGGTGCAGTCACCATTTCCTTCACAGGACACATCGGATCCCTCACACGCCTGGGACAGTGTGGTCTTCAGGCACTGAAGGACTGGGCGGGAGCCACCACTTATATACCGCCTGCGCAGGGGGTGAGCCTGGCTCCCGCCCACTCCATGGTGCCAAGTTTGGAAGTTTCTCTCCGGTTGAGGCCTTGTCAAGCCCATTGGTGTGAATACACGGATGACCACTCAAAGAACGACAGTTACAAGGTAAGCATCCTGCTTTTCTGGCTGAACATCAGAAACAGAAGTATGAAAATGGAACTAATTACCTGGTGAGATTGTGCACCCTCCCACACTAGAGGCAACTGGAAAGCAATCTGAGATGGAAGGTTTAACTTGGATCCCTGCACTGAGGAAGGGGTTAGACCTGATGGCCCTCTGGTTCCTTCCAATTCTACTATTCTACAATTCTTTGATTTGATGACCATGTCTCAGCTTTAATTCAGCGTATTCCCTGGAGAGGCGTCATATTTTAAAACTATAGTTGAGGAGCAAGTATTTGGTCCTAAAACAAAGTAGATATAAGTGAATCAAATGAACCAAACTCACCAAGCCCAAGTGTACATAATGGCTATGTGGCAATTAGCTATTTCATATTGGAACCAAAATTTGAAATCTACCCAAAATAAGAATACTTTTAAATCAGTCTATCAGTGCATGGTCCTATATAGTGAAATGAATGCCCAGGTACTGTTTGCCTTATTGGTGTCATCAGAAAGACCTTCATATACCATTGATATAGAAAAGGAAAGCGGGAGACCTTACACTGAATTTGAAACAGCACTTCACCTGCTCAGCTCTGACCCTGCCGTCTGTAACTGTACTATGGAAAAACACAGAGAAATATACTAATTCCACAAAAATCCCTGGAACTTTTTGTGTCACTCAAAGTATTATTATTATTATGGCAGCACAGTATGTTGCCATTTTTGGGTAACTTGCTACTGGGTGAGCCACTTATATTCCAAAGCAAATATTGCAGACATTATTCCACTGAATATTGCTGCTTCCATTATGGATTACAGCCGAATTATAAATAGAATCTCTTGCCATTGAAGCATTTTATCTATAGGTGTGTTGCTATTAACCGCCTGGAAATAACAAAACCTGCCACTACCCTTATTAAATTAATGTTTTGCTGCTTCTTCTGTTTTGTAGAATCACTATTTATTGTATATATCAATTAGAGTTATTTAATTTTGGAGAAACAAACTAGACATGAAGCCTTCATATATTTTAAATATTTTACAGAAAGCTGTCGAAGAATCACTTAATGGTATGTGATTGAAATTTTGTACTACATTTCAGGGACTTGGCTTTTATTTATTTAATTTTAATTTAGACTGTCTGGCTGTTGATGCTGTTTAAACAGCAATATTATACAATATTTGTAAGAGCATTTGCAGCCTTCAATCATTGGTGGCTCATAAATCTATGGGGAGTCATGGGGGACTGGAGATCCTTTGTAGCACAGCAAACATCGACTTGCTGGTGGTTTGTATTGCTTGGTTGACTATTCTATAGTAAGCAGCACAGTGATCGTATAAGTCGTCCTGCTCAAACGAATCAGCCCTTGTAAGAGGGACCTTTTTCTGGAAGTTAGATGTTACGCTGTCTCCTGCATGGGGTGCATGCCTTTCAATAACGCTGCTGGGCAAATTTTGTTTTGTAGATTTTGACTTTGGATCACTGATTCCTCACTTGAGTCAGTTGGCCTTTGGAGAATCCCAATTTCACAATGCTGGTTGTGCTGGGGGAGCAAATATCATTGACATGCCTCTTAATTTCTTCAAATGAATTTCTCTTAAAATTCTTGCATGCCTGGAAGTTGTCTTAATTTCAAATCCATTCTAAGACTGTTGCTATAAAACCTCTCTTTACTCTACTTGTCTAACTGCTAACCTTTTCCTTGGTCTTTCAAAGATGCAAAAGGAGTTATGTTAGAATGATGGTAAGTGCTGCCTATATTTATCGATCAGAATTTTCAACAGGACTTTTAGATTTTTCTCTTTTCTTACCTAACTTAAAAAAAAAAACTGGCAATACACAATTTGTTAAGTAATAGCACTTCTATAATTCTATTTCATGGTTGTGATTAGATGTGAAGCATGGCCCGGGCATGTAGTCAGTGAATCGCAGTAGGGGTTTTTTATTTCTTTTAAAAAAATAACAATTTTGTTATTAACCCACTGAGAATATCAAAGAAAAATAAGTATACAAATGTTTGTATTCTGTTTATCCCATACACTTCCCAGTTGCTATTTACTTCATACTTCATTGACTTCTGCTTAAACTAAATCCATTAGATAGGGATCAAGATTAATCCAACCATGACTGCAACCTAACTAGTTAAGTAATTAGGTCTTAGTAATTCAAGCAATTAATCAGTGAGAGAATTAAGAATTTTCCTTGAGTTTGTTCCATATGCAACTTCTTATACTACAGTCAGTTGTAAAGTAATTGAAATTCTTGTATCCAGACTTGCAGCCTGCTAACATTTGATAGAGGGTATTTCAACTCTACACAAACCATCATAATCCTAAAATTGAGCATCTATTACAATACTGTCATGTATTCACATTATTATATGGGTGGGGGGAAGTACCCAAAGGATCATGCTGTGACTGCCACATGCTTGTTGGGACTTGAAAGAGTGCAAAGCTTCCAAACTTCTGATGTGATGTGAAGGCCCAGTCAGAAGCTAGTTTAACTACACTTAAGAGCAGACTCATTGAAATAAATGGAACATAAATTACTAATGACTCACTTAAATCCCATTCCTTTCAATGGATGTGTGTTAAGTATGACAAAGTCTGTAGCAACCCAAAGGCATATAACTGAAGTGTATAAAGGCACAAATTCAGAGCGGGTTTTTCCAAAAATGGAATATAGAATGTCTTCACTTGAAATCGTCTCTGTGGTCATTACAAAATCTGGACCAAAGGATCAAAGCGTTTGTGCAAGTCTTTTGACACTTTATTATGGTTCATCTCACCTCTTTCTCCAAGGAATTCAGGTCAGCCAAATTTTATCCAGTCAACAACCCAGTGAAGTCCATTACACTGAGATATAGTGACTTGCTGAAGCTACTCTGTGAGCTCCATCGATGAGCAGAGATTTCAGTTAGCTTTCCCAACTGCAGATCCAGTACATTTTATTGATTAAAGCTTTATCAGGGCAATATAGATAAAGTAGTACTTTGGCACAATTTGACTTGCTTTACCTTTCAACATTGGGAATATTGTTTTGCAGCTTATAATATGCTGTCAGTGTCTTTTCAGTCTGTATGCATACACAGCACACTTTCACACTTCATACTTTCATTGACACAGAAACTTTGGGGTAAGCACACCTGGTGCTGCCTCAAGAAAGTCAGTTCAAGGAGATTGCCTTCTCCATGACCCTAAATGTCAAGTTTTATGAAACATCATGGTATGGTTGTGCGAGTGCCAGTCATCATGCAGCCAAAACAGGACCATCCATGTGAGAGGCAACAGTACCCTAAGTATCAGCATACTTAGTGTACAAAACTGCTGGGAAAAAACCCTTCAGGAGAAGACAGCTCACCAAAAGCACCCTGATGAGGGCTGAGTATGCTCAGAAGGCTGTCTGACTGCTGTAGTGGGAAAATGGGATGCTGGAGAAAGAGGAACAGAAAAGTGCAAGGATGCTGAACTTGCATTCTCAGGGCCCTCTTGAAAGGGCTGAAAACGACTGAATTCCATCAGTCACAAAATGGCAGTGCAGAGTCAGAAACAGTCACAAAACAACAGCTGGTGGAAGTGGAATTTTATCATCTGGCAATACCTGATAGAACTTCGTCATGGTACCTAATCCTCCTTTGGGAATGGCTAAATTCTCTGCCACAACCACTTCCTTTTAGCAAGCAGTCCTTGCACGAACAGCAGACAACGGCTCTGGAGGAATAATTTTTAGTATCTGCATTTCAGGTAGAACTGGCTGATCAGAGGCTCTAAGCAGACAAAAGACTTCTTTTCTTTCCTTCCAGATGCCTTAATCTCATTTAACTTGTACCCTCTCCCTGACTCCCAGCGCACAGCTTGCAGGAATAGAGTATCCTGGAAGAGGATGTGGCTGGCTGCTGGATGATGGAGCAGTGAACAGGCGTGCTCCATGCTGCAACATTTTTGTTGCAAGTCCCATTTATATATATATCGAGTGATTACAGCGAAATGTTTGGAGGGTTGCTTCTGAAATGAGGTTCTTGTTTATACATATGAAATATGTTCACAAATCTGCTAATTTTTAGAGGCTGTATGGAAGGCAATTACGTTGATAGAGATTGCATAGAGTGTTCTACAGCAAATGGCTTTTTTACTGCCATATTACCTTTCTTCTTTTTTCACTTTTTGGAATGGAACAGTAAATTAGAAAAACTGTAGGTCCATTGATTTTTTTTTAAGCCGTTCATATTTTGAATAATGATTATGTCTTTATTTTGTAGTTTCCGAAATGAGATAGCTGAACCTGATATGGACATGGAAACAAGTGAAGAGAGACTTTTGTTGATACACCGTGGCCTTGATGATGCACTACTCAAAGAAAAATAAAATCAGGAAATTACTTGTCTTGCATGCATGGAAAAGTGCTGTAATGACTTTACATGATGTACCTTTATAGTCACAGCAGTAGTAGATTTCAAGAGAAGTGAGTGTATGCACGTGAGGTTTTTCTCTTTGGGGGTGGATGAATGCAAGGATTCAAAGGACTCTTTTTACCCACTGTAATGTGTCTCTTTAGTGCTGCACTTCTCAGAACAATGTTGAACTGCCGCTTTGCATAAAGACCAAACTTTATGAGGACCACTTTCAGACATCACAGTGCTGGCACACTGCCTGCCCTCCACACTGGCCGGTCTTTGGCTACAATACAGAGCTACTTCCAGAGAGTTCATCATATGTCGCACAGCAGTGGTGCTGAAGGTGGGAAGAGCGGCATTGCTTATGGGTCATCTGTTTCCATTTTTACCCCAGTTAACTGTGTGGGACCAATTTGCTTGTTTGCTCACTTACATTAGGGAAATATTTCTTTCCAGGTAGCCTGAATATTGGCCAATATCAGCCCAGTGTGCAGAACAGGTTAAGCCAAGCCAGCACTGGTATGTTTGAAAGTTATCTCAAGGTCACAGAACAGACTTCTGTGGAACCACTTAAATCTTTGTACTGCATGATAAATGATACTATTTTCTTTCTTGGTTTAACTCACTCTTCTCTAAACCAACTCCAAACCCAACCGACCTTTTGACATTTTCTACGACAAAATACAGAAACAACAATAGAGTAAGGGAACGCTTTGTATAAGTTTTATTCATGCTATATGGTGTGAATATGTGTGGATGTGGTACAGGGTGAACAAATATTGTTCCTGGAATGACATTTTTTAAATAGATACAGTAATTAGCCTTTTTTCTAAAGAAGAGTGTGATTCCCAACTCTTTCAGATGATCACAAAAGCCCATCCACCCATTTGCTGTTAATATTTCTGCTGTATATACTGTAATTCTTTGTGAGCTTTGGTGATCAGTACTGTAGTCCAAGTAACTTTCTCTTTTCCTGTTATTTAATTAAAATCCTCTTTAAAAACAAGGGCCAAGTTCAGCTTTAGTGGCACAAATCCCAATTTCTACACTGCTGAATGTAGTCCTTTAAATGTTCATAAAGCTGAGAATCAGCTCATAATGGTTCTGCTGATTAAATCATGTTTCTTTTCCATCTCCTGCACCCTGTAGTTACCAGAACCAGAAACAAGCTGATATTTTCTAAATAATAGGTTGCTAGCATTACAGATTAGGTCACAAATTCTTCAACTGAAATGCTCAATTCAAGATCTTTCTTTTCAGTGCAGTATTTATACAAGAGGCTCCAAGGAACTGAATACCTGTGGCTGTCTGGTTCTTTGTGGCTTCTATGACTCACACATATGGGTTTATGTACCTGTGCAAAATAGCATTTGCAACGTTCAAAGTTAAACAGATTTTTTTTGGCAGGAGCTCCTCTGCACACACTCCAAGGTCTGCATCCCCCTGCCTCTCAGTTCCCTCTTTTCTACCGCAGTGATGAGCAGCATTTTGGAATGTTATTCTTCATGGTATAAAGCATACCCTTTCTCTATATTATCTTCTCGCTAGAAGCAAAAAAGTAGTAGTAGTAGTAGTGATGGTGGTGGTGTTGGAGGAGGAGGAGGAGAGTTCTTGCCTCTCTCTCCTGGCTTTACCTCATCAAACAGACAAAATGGTGCTCAAAACCCTTTTCCACAAGTGGATGGCATGTGGCAGTAAACTTCCTCCTACAGACAGCCATTCTCTTTGCCTTTTCTGTTTGGGAGAATCTCATGTTGTTGACTCCTGGTACCATTGCCAGGCTTTCACTAAGCAGGCAAGGAAACATTACGCAGACTGTCTAAAGGTTGAATTATGGAGTGGCCTCTCCACCTTGTCAATTCAAAGCATGTATCGAGTTTGAGAGAAGGATGCCAAATTTCTCTTTTAACATCAACCTACTTCTATTATTGTTGAGTCTTCTCAGAGCCACTCCAGGCCACTTCTACTCTTCTGTTGTTCTTTCCATAAAGATTGCGAATTGCCAAGCAACCATGGCTAGATATCCGCTCATTTATGGGATAGAATAGCATCCCTTTGCTCTTCTCTCCCCAAAAGTGCCCAGGATTTGACTAACAAAATTTAAAACTAGGCCACCCACCTGACCAGGTAGGAAATCCATACTGTACAACATGAAGTGGAATGCGGAGCTTGAAATATGGCAGGAGCAATAGGTCTTCTCCACTTCACTTGGACTCAATCCTCTGGCCTCTCTGATGAAGCAAAAACAAGGATTGAGGATATGCTATTGAAGGGACAGGTCTTTCATGAGGCCACTGATGATCGCATGGACTCGGTCCAGAAGACGAGAAGTACTGCCAACCCATGTGTCTCCATCAGACATCACCTTCAAGACCATACACTTCTTGTAAGTGGCACAGTCCTTACCCATACCAGTCAAGGCCTACTGCCACTGCCACTAATCAACACCTTACCTACCATGCAAACCAGGCACCAGGACCCCTTGACCTGGATCCACCAGGTTTCGCAGGTGTCAGGACATATCTAGGAGGCACATATGACTCCTTCGAAAGCCTGTGCATGGCTCTTTATACTTTAACCATTGCCTTCAGCCCTTTGTGCATTCTTGGGCTGCCATCACCTTGGAGCTGTGAGTTCTCTCTATAATCGCCCATGATTACAGTATTGAGTTTCAAATTCTCCCTTGCATCATGGTACCAAAAGGGACAACCCCTTCCATACCCCTTCTCAAGGAAATCTCCTCATTTTAGAAGGGAGCCCATAGCACACACGCCATCCAATGCACCTGGTTTTTATCCCAGGTATTTTACAGTTCCTAAACAGGATGGAAGCCTTTGTCCAATTCTCGATCTAAGTTCCCTCAACCAATACATTAAACCCAAACATTTTAGAATGGTCTCTCTGCAAACCATTATCCCGCTACTTTCTGAAGGCACTTGGTTCACATCTGTAGACCTTAAGGATACTTATTTTCATATTCAATTGAGGAGTCCCTCAGGCATTTCCTCCATCAGACAATCTCAAAGTCTTTATTGCTTCTGCTGGCCTACACCAGGGAACCCCTATCTCCCCACTAACATTTTCTAATTGGATAGTCCCCACTATATCCTGATGTTCAATCTAGAGAGGACTGCACTTTTGGCAGAGCTATTTTCTCTTCTCTTCACTGAGCAACACCCTCCTCCTCAAGGTAAGCTTGCCAGTTGCCCACATGTGCGGTGCAGAGATCACAAAGAATAAAGGCAGATTTCCTTACCTGTCACTGTCATTCTTTGAGTGCTCATCTGTGCATTCACACATACCCGCCCGCCATCCCCGCTTGTGTCTCATGCTTATTTTTGACACAGGGTGACACGTCTATGATTCAGACATTATTTCCATGGTGGTCTCACAACTGAGGTCTCAGTGGGAGCCCCACCTTCACACTAGGTGTGTCTATGGGCCAGCCTCCCATCAGCTTTGAAATCTCCCTGAAACAGCTCCATGAATGAGTGCAGAGCCCACATGAGTGAATGCACAGATGACCACTTGAAAAACAACACTTACAGGTTAGGAAACCTGCCTTTCCTAGTCTCATAAGAAAAAACAAGCGAGCAAAGAGACAGATGCTATATATTCCTCCTTCCTTGCAGATTTCTTTCTTGCACTGTTGCAGATTTTGAACTGAGAGGCAGGTGGGACTGCATCTGGAGCATGTGCAGAGCATGGAGGCAGGGCTACCAGCCAAAGACTCTGTCTAGCTCTAGAATGTCCTAGATGCTCCAAATTATCAAGCGTGTAATCTCATGTGGGTTCACAAAGGACTACTCAAAGAGCTGCAGTTCCAGGTAAGCAACTTGTTCTTTGGATGGACATTAAAAGTATTATGTAAAAATCTGTTCTACATATGTGCATTGAAGGCCTTTGTCTGCTTTTCTGCCACATTCCCACTGAGAATCCATCCACTACAATTCTATCATGAGCGCAATTGCATTATTTAAAGCGACACTGCTATTCTGAGTTCCTAACGTATAGCCTTTTGTAAATTCAGGTCAGGTTGATTGAATACTCTTCATTTGTTAGAATGTTCAGTGGGACATTTACTCAAATCTCCTGATAGCTTTCCGGTTCAAACTATTAGTGTGTTTGGGGTTTTTTTTCCTTATCAATAAATTGTGTTTCACATCTACAAAGGTACATACAGTGTTTGTTTTATTTCAAACTAGGTTAGGTAAATTGCTCCTTTATATCCCCTATCCTCCCTTTACTAGCTGAGCATGAAAACAAAACAGGAAGGCTCAGCACATGGAACTTCTTGAGAAGCTGAAAATCTCAAAATGTTAAAGGCAAGTTCTTTTTTTCTTAACAGACTATTCAACTCTGTGGCAATGAACAAAAAGCCTTTGGTGGGGGTGGAATGGCTTTCATTCTTGGAATCCCAAGCTCTATGGAAGTAGAAATATATATTGTCTCTGATTTTGAATATGTTATATTTAACTATGGTAGTGTGGACCATTACGCTTATTTCTACAGCAGCATAAAAGCTATTAATGGACCTCAGGGCAGACTCTAGGTTGATCCTCTAATAACTATTCAACTGGTTGTTTTAGGACACATGTCTGCTCTGGGTAAGGTGGGATTCAGAATTGATGGCCCTTATGAATTTTGTGTTTTTGGATGTTCATGGCTATTCATATAAAGATAGCAAGGGCAGGTGTCATGCTGGTATATTGGCTTTCATACTTAAAGGGCTTGGGATCTTAGATATTATTGTGTATGCTCAAGGTTCCATCCTGTAGGCAAACAAACCAAATTAGGTGCATCATGGTTGCAGGTGATCAAAGAATTACATAGCATTATATGGTTCCTTGGCAATAAATCTCATCTCTGGAGGATGCCAAAAAATAACAATTCAGTGGATTTATCCCATGCTGTATATCTGGAATCTGGTATCTATCACTCTGTTTGCCTTGCTTAACTATAAAAGGTAAAGGTTTCCCCATGACATTAAATTCCAGTCATATCTGACTCTTGGGGGCGGTGCTCATCTCCGTTTCCTAGCCGAGGGAGCCGCGTTTGTCCGCAGACAGTCTCCGTGGTCATGAGACCAGCGTGACTAAACACTGAAGTGCACGGAATGCTGTTACCTTCCCACCGAAGTGGTGCCTTTTTATCTACTTGTATTTGTATGCTTTTGAACTGCAAGGTTGGCAGGAGCTGGGACAAAGCATGGGAGCTCACCCCATCTGCAGATTCGAATTGTCAACCTTTCAATCAGCCCAGCAGCTCAGCAGTTTAAATCACTGTGCCACCCGCATGTCCCTTTGCTTACTATAGCTTTGTTTAAAACATAGGATAAAATCATAAAGACCATTGTACAGTGCCAGTAGGTACAGCCAAATTCTTTTATATGAATGGAATGGAACATTTCTGAGACATATTAAAGGATTGGATTCTTCATATATGCCCATTTAAAACAGGATAACATGTGCAAGTAGCATATCTTCAATTTTGTTTATTTTTATTTTTGTGGCAGCCATTCAAAAAAGTTAGCTTTCCTAATTTAATATTTTGTTTTCCCTAATGTTTAAGAAACTAAAGTAGTTATGGCTATTTTACTAATCATATGGATTCATTTTTTGTATTAATATAAATCCAAATCTTTGTTGTTTCTCCATTTGGAGAAATCTTCTTTTAAACAAAAGTATGTTTTTTATTTATTGAAGGTAGCTTTGTAAATAGAACTATATAATTAAAATAAAACCTGTTTTTTTTTTTTTTTTGTGTTTCTCCTTGAGTCAGCACAGCTCCAAACACTAATTTCAAGGTCTGCCAGGCTGCTTTTTCCATCACAGTAAACCTGCAAATCATCTCAAATGTTCACTTTAACCATGTGCTTAATAATTTTTTTCATTGAAAAGCTGTAACCATTAAAATAGAAAAGGTAAGTTCTATGGTGTTCTGAAACACAGTCTAAATTGCCTTACACAACACTGCATGTTTATATTTATTTAAAACCATGTGTAACAAGTAAAGCTTAAATCATTAAATTCCTGGGAGTTACAAGCTTCAATGCAAATATAATGGAAATGAACTTTACCAAATACACTGCTTTCCATGCTATGGGGAACATGCTACTTAGCACTGAAGGGCTGGTAATGCATAGTACACATTATTCATTCAAGTCACATCATAGCAATTGCTCTTTTTTCTTTTCTTTTTCTGAAAAAAAATAATTTGGGCTGAAAAATTTTATCAGAACATATGAGGGAAATGAATTTATTAAATCAGAGCTTGTCAGATTTAGTCGTCTTAACAATTATCTTTAAAGCGTATTTATCATGCATATATACAGATAATATTCTATTATTATTAGAATACTTCTAGAAAGAGAAAAATAAGTCAATCATTTATATCTTGCTTACCATAATGCAAAGCATCATAAGGTGTTTGTATTAATTGTGAAAGCAGCTGCCGAGTGCTATCTAGGACCCAAAATAATAGGAATCTCACAGTTGCGAATGTGCTCTTGAGACTTCAGGTGCTTGCAGCTTATCAACCAATTAAGCATTTGCATTTATTTGCTAGAGCTGCTGGCTGGAAGCTCCACTGATGCCTTTTCTCATATGGGGACTGATCTGCCCCATGGTCTTTTCCAAGATGATCATTTTTCACCTTGGAGACTTAGATGTGAGGCAGTTTGCCAGCAGGAAGAGAAGGAAAACAGGTCAGAGAGTGCCTTGTATGTGAGGAGGTGGTTTGCTCACCTACTGCTGGGCATTGCATCCCAGAGCTGGAATCCTAGGAGGGAAGCAGCTGTGGGGCTCGGGATCCACCAACCCAAGACAGCAGCAGAGGAGTGGCAAGCCTATGCTTGACCTATAAGTTGCAGGCAAACATACATCAGCTGCATTAATACCATGCTAACCAACCCTGTGAGTAACCTCCTCCTTGTAGGTTGTTCACAGATCAGCCTATGGTATACCCAACAGATGATCAGGCATGCCATGGCTTGCTTTGCCCCTGAGTCCTCCAACTGGCTCTGACACATAACCTAGCAATCATCATGGCAGAACCCATCTTGTCTTTGCCTACCTTCTTCAACCACTATGCTTTTTCACCCACCTCTTTGGGTTCTTTTTCTCAGAGCATCAGAATCTGAGGTTATATCTTTTTCTATTCAGCCTTTGAAAATTATGCAAGTGTGTTCATAATTGTTATTAATATCATTATTTATTTTTGGTCTTTTGCAAGTATGGCCTTACAGCTATCAGATATGAGTACTTTTGCCTGGTCAACTGCCTTCTAGGTTTCAGCTGTCCAGGGACAGAGTAGTAGGTATTATACATTGAATTTGACACAGCAAAGCTGCATATAGACTAATTTGCACACAGCTGCCAGGGACCAGTTGCCAAGTTATCACTTGGAAAGGATGAGTAGAGGGGAAAGCAGCAAAAGTAGGTGCACCAAGGGGGGTGGGCCATATTTCCTGTTTTGCAATGCAATCTTGATCTAACATGCTGAACAGACACTAGTACCGCCCACCTTATCAACACTTCACCACATGTTTAGCCATGCCAAAGGGGAAATAGTAACTTCCTGCCTCTTCACAGACAGCTGAAGAGGGGACTTGTACAAATGCAAGGAAAAAAAGCAAGAAAAATGATAACACATTTACACAATTTTCTGGAACAAAAATATAAAAATAAAAATTCGGTAGCAAATCAGTGCCAGTTGCTCCAAAGTGCCACTTGGACTTCAGTGGAGGGGCAGTCACAGGTGGTGGTACAGGGGCCTTTTGATGCTCTTGCTGAGCAGCTTGCTATTTGATCCTTGCATCCACAATAAAATTTCTCTCTTTGGGGTGGGTGACACAACAGTTTGTTATGGTGCAAACAACATGGGTTGTCATGGGTTATCCCCTGTGATAAGCCACCCTGCCGGAAGTGGTTGGAGTCAGAAAAATACAGCAACTGATCATGGCTAGTTACCTGCAATTGTTTAGTGTGCATTGGGATTGGGTCAGTAAAGAGACATATCAAAAAGCAGTTGACTCAGCTGATTGGAGTATATTGACTTGGCCTATAATTTGGACATCCAGGTATTCTACAAGTATTTTTCATACCAAGGCAGATGTCACTACTGTAAAGTTTTCAGGAGGAGAAAGAGTTTTGGGGTAGGGTATGGGGTAGGTAGACTCAGGACATTACCAGTATTGTTGTGTCATACATGACGCAGCCCGTTCAGTATAGCTACATATTACATTATTCTCCACCTAGTTTATTTTTTCCAATGGAAGAGTATCTTTTTTCTGTTGCAGAAATTTCATGGTAGGTTTGAATTGCACAAAAGAAGGAACTATTGTGCCAATGGCAAAGGCTGATCTGCTTCCCCACAGTTTAAGGAGATAATTAACAAAGCATCAATCAAGGTCAATGGACACTTCCAAAGGCTTTTTGGAGACCATCTGAATTTGAGAGCAGTGGCCTATTTCATCTGAAGATGTCTTAGTGGCTGAATTAATTAGAACACTGAAGGCCTTTAGGTTAAAAGTACATCTCACAATGTGTAATTGTAATTCCCACAAAACAAAAAACACACCTGTGTTCTTATGAACAGTATAGCTTAGTGGCAGTAGGAATTCGAGAGCCCTATAGAACACAACTACCTAGCCATTCATTTTCTGTTGTTGTTCTTCCTTTGTAGCAGAGCTCCAAAAATAAGTTCATATTACTACGCCCTCTTGAATTCTTTCTTCAAACTTCTTTTGAACTTTCCCTTATGGTATTTGCTGACTATTGGTCTAGTTATTTAGCCTTAGATGAATCTTATTGCCTGCTTTGGGCTGCATTCCCTAGCAACCCAACACTGAGAAGACCAGATCTTGGTACACCGGCGTCCTCTACCAGCCTCATATTATCCATGGACTGTGCCTTGATCAGCAGGGCCCCCATGAAAGCAGTGCTGGGGAATGGTTTTCTGTATGCCTCATTTTCCATGGCTCATCATGGGATGGAGAGTCAGTGCTGGCCTCTTTTTGTTCACCTGCCATTACTGAGGGAACCCTGGTTAGTCTTTTTTCCTCTGCTTATATGCTTAAATTCAGCAGGTTGTCACATCTGATCTGAGGTTGCATCATACTTACATGTTTGATTTATAAAACACAAGCCCGGTTCACTTTCAATCTTAAAGGTGCC